TATATAATTGTTATAGGTAGGTTTTAAATAAAAATAATTGATAAATAAAATGGATTGGACATACGTCAATGTAAAACTTAGAGCTGACAATGAGTCGATCTGGGTTGGATTCGGGTTCAACTCATTTATTAATTGGGTTGAAGTTTTCAACCCGACCCAACTTGTTTATTTAAACGGGTTGATATTTTCAACTCAACCCAACCTTTTAGATAAATGGGTTGTTGTCGGGTTGACTTGTTTATATAGTTTCCGACCCAACCTACTATATAAATTGGTTAAACTTGAGTTAAGACATTTAAAATAAATAAAGCAACTAAAGATTATATCACTTAAATTAGTTCCAAACATATATAAAATTTCAAAATATAACAAAAGCACAATCCTAATTAACAAATACATATAAATTGTTCAAATAACATTAAAAGTGTTTAATTTGAAAATGATTTCGGACAATAACTATTATTGTTGTTGCTAAGAAAAATAATAAGAATTAGGATTGTATTTTTTAAAACATAAGTAATAATACAACATTATAATTTTTAAATTAATAGTTTAATTAATACATGATATTATTCAAATAATTATTAAATTAAATATATATTAAATATAAATTGACAGGCGGGTTGAAAATGGGTTGATAATTCTTAACCAACCCAACCTATTTAACTTACATGAGTTGAATATCTCAACTTAACCCGCTAATTTTGAGTTGGATTCGAATTGGATCGATTTTTACCCGCTCTAACAAAACTACTAAATCTTTTGTGATACACAAATGCTGGGGTTTCTAAACACACCATGGTTGAAAACAATTTACAATGGTCAAAACCACCCTCAGTCAAATCAAATCAAATAAAATAAATACTATAAAAAAATGCAAATAGTCGTTCATCCTAACGTCAACTTTTCTATTCTTTTGACACAATTAAATATTTTTTTTATTTTTATTTTTGATTTAGACTAAATAACTTCTATATCAATGTTTATAATTGTAATTTTAGTTTTCAATAATTATTACATGTATTTTCCTTTTTATTTATTTATGTTATAATCTTTTGAAAATATTTCTTATAATATTTTTTTGCCATGGTGGTACTATTTGTATTATGATGTTTTCTATCATGGCGGTACCTTTTTTTTGCTATTTATTTATATCATATATTTTCAAGAGTTTTAAAATTATATTGTTTGAACTGTTTATTTAATGATTACGATTCTAAACTTCTAACAAACACTTTAAATATTTTAATTTTTTGATAGAAAAACTTTATGTTCGTTTATTAAATTAGATAAGAATTGAAATATCTTTGTTCTAGCGGTATAATTATATATCATCATCGAATAAAGTTGAATATTCAAGTTTCGTTTGGAATATATGTGAAAAATATACATAGATTAGAATGTATGTTTATGTTTACGGCTTAAAAAAATTAAATAAAAACTTTATAATGTTATTGTATATAGGAATACCTAGGGGTGTTCGTTTGGATGGATCGGTTTGATCCGATCCAATCAAGTGAATCCAAATTGATTTCGGTTTTCAAAACATGGATCCAAATTGTCCAAACTAAATTCAAATCCAATCCGATCCGATCCAATTACAATTCGGTTGGATCGGTTTTTATAATTCGGTTTTCAAAAACCGAAACATTTTAAAACGACATATAATTATAATATTACTTAACTTTATACAATAAGCGGAAACAAATTATTTAGTTGTGATTTGAAATTTATAAACAACTACTAAGAAGATATATTATAGTTAAATTTTTTATAGATAGAAAACTTTTGATAGAAAATGCATATTAATGTTTTTTTTATTTGGTGAAACGTTTTGAACGTGTTTGAAAAAATAAATTACAAAATCAATAAATAACTATAAATATAGATTATAAATAAATAAATAATAAATGTTTATTCGGTTTTTTTGGACTATTCGGTTCTTATTTTATAAACCAAAACCAATCCGAAATCCAAAATAATAATTCGGTTTTGTCAAAAACCAATCCAAAGATCCGAATATCCGAACCAAATAGTCCAATCCAAATTGTCCAATTGGACAATTCGGTTTTATCCAAATAGTGAACAGCCCTAGGAATACCCTTTCATTGGGTACCAGGTTTCCATCTTCGCATGTGTTCACATTGATTGATATTTACCTCACTTTTTTATTTCATGTCATGATTGGAATTTGATGATACGTCCCTAACTTCTACATGGATATCCATCTACTAGAGTAAATTATATGAATCGTCCCTCGTGCAGGTGTCAAAATGCACGTTCAGTCCCTATTTTTAAAAATTAATTCGGATCGTCTCTGAGTTGTCATTTCCTTACACGGTTAGTCCCTATCGTCGTTAGCCGTTAGTGGTTGCCATTAAATTGTCGCACGTGCCTTGCATGCTTGCTAGGATCGTCCCTCATTTGTTTAAAATTTACATGTTTCATCCCTTGTTTGTTTAAATTTGCATATTGTATCCTTAATGGACATAAAATAACTATATTACTCTCACTATTTTATTTTTAATCTAATTATAATTTATTTTGTATTTACCACAAATTAGATTCCACCCCCTTCCCACCTACCCTAAAATTCTAACTCAATATATCTTTGTCCCTCTTTTTTTCTCTAAGATCGAACTCCTAAAAAGCTCTAACATTATACTACTGTCGGACTACCACTGTCGGATCATTAAGTGTCGTAGACGGTAACCTCATCAGAACAAAGAAACACAAAACACACATACCTTATATGTGTGTGCTTGTGTGATGCCAAGATAGAGGGAAAGAGAGTCGGATATCTATATTCCGATAACAAATTCATTCGGATATGTGATTTAGGGTATGCTATCAACAACTCCCTTTGTCGCTATCCTCTCTTATCTTCTATGTTTAAATATGTGATTTAGTGTAACATCCCAATTTTCAGGTCCAAAAATTTCTTTTTAATTAACCAACACATAAAAACATTCATA